TAATAATCACATTAGCTCCATGGAGTTGGGGACCCAGGCTCCTTTCACCTGTTGCTCTGCCATTCTCCACCTGTAATTCTATTCCTAGGTTAAAGTCAATGACTTCAACTCCTGCCATCTTATTCACACCCAGGCAGCAAGGAGGGAAAAAGAGGAAAGGAGGCGCCCATTCCTTTCTATTTAAGAGTGTAACCTGGAAGTTGTACATACCATTTCTGCCCATATCGCATTGGCTAGAGCCTAGTAAATGCCTACAATTACCGGCAAGGGAAGCTTGGAAGTGCATCTGTCAGCTGAGTGACCAAGTGTTCAGCTAATACTCTCTTTTCAGAGAAAAAGGGGAAGAGTGACATCACAGGTACAACAAGCAGCCTCTGCTCATCTCCACAGATAAAACTGATCTCCAGGAAGTGAGCACGAAGTTGAGGCTCAGAATAAAAGCAGCTGTGAGAGACTTGAGGCCTCCAAGAGACAAGGACAGCAACACTGGTTCCTGTTGGCATCCAGTTCTTGGGTTCTATCCCTCATTAAGACACAGAAGCTTTCCTTCCCTTGTGTATAATAAATTCCTGGCTTTGCATAAGCCAGCCCAAGTGGCCTTCTGTTCCCTAATACCAAAACGTCTTGTCTAATACAAACTCATTATATGCTCCCGGAGGGCGAGGGTCACATTTTACTTTTTTATTCCTGACCCAGGGTTTAGGTAGCACCAATGCTCAGTAAATAAATACTGATTTGACTTAAGGTATTGCTTCCTTTTGCAGCTGGATGCATTTGCTATCTGTCTCCATCATTTTTTTTTTGCCAGTTATAGAATGTAGGCTTCCAAATTCCCTCAAAGAACAGAGAAGGTGGAGTCATGAGGAGATGAAGGAATGTCTTAATTTGAGAACTGAAGAGGAAAATACTAACAGTTTGAGCACAGCTCTTCCCTGAAATCTGTCAGCGCTGAGGGAAGGGCCAGCGGCAGTAAGACAACAGCAATCTTCATGGCACTGTCAGGCAAATCAGGAGGGCTACAAGGGCCTGCTGCTCTCCTCTGTGGACAAATGCTTGTGGCTGTGAGTTAAATACCAGTGCAATCAGCTCACTCTCAAATGAAACTGCTCTAGCCCAGACTTGGAGAACAGTCTTCCATGAAACTTTTTTTCCCCAGTGTTTTAAATTTAACCAGCTGGAAAGAAGTATCATTTTATTAAATCTTTTTGGCTGGGCGTGGTGGCTTATGCCTGTAATCCCAGCACTTTGGGAGGCCAAGGCAGGTGGATCACCTGAACTCAGGAGTTCAAGACCAGCCTGGCCAACATGGCAAAACCCCATCTCTACTAAAAAGACAAAAATTACCAGGCATGGTGGTGCACGCCTGTAATCCCAGCTACTCAGGAGACTGAGGCAGGGAGAATTTCTTGAACCCAGGAGGTGGGGGTTGCAGTGAGCCAAGATTGTGCCACTGTGCCTGGATGACAGAGCAAGAACTCTGTCTCAAAAAAAAAAAAAAAAAAAAAACCCAAACTTATAAAATGAAAGAAGTTGGCTTTTTATATAGATGGCAGAAAATCTGCAATTCTAAATCAACGGGGATAAAAGAATAATGCTATGACTAAGTTTCATTTGATACATAAGGCCTAGGCACAACACGTACCCAAAACACAACGCTTTTGTTTGATACATTAAAAAATTATTGACATTTTACGAAAATAACAGCCAACAGGGGTTTGAGAGGTTTGGCCTAACAAGGGTTTTAAGCTGCCATGTCTCTTGTATCATAATAAAAACTCGCAGGTTCATGTAGAACCAAATAATTTACATGTCAGCGCTGGCATGTAGAGGTAATTCAGATTAGTATCTTGCCTGAATATGAGTATATTTCAAACTGAGCTGAAAGAATAGATCAGGAAACATCTGATATGTGATTACATTTTACATTTGACTCGTCAAGCCATACAGAATTGTTATGGAATGCCAAAAATTAGCTTCACAACAATCCGGAAGGAAAATCCAGACTTACCTGTGCGAGGGAATGGGGGAGAAGGGAGTGTGTGGATGTAGGAGGGCGGGAGCCAGGGAGCGTTATCACTGTATCAAATGACCGGTAAAAAATTGTAAATTACCGCGGGTGAGCAAAAAAAACTGCCATATCTGCTATACACCAAGCTTTGTCAACCCATGCAGCCCCTGTGGGGCTTTGCAATGGGCAGACCTAGGAATGGCTTTTGAAAATGTGGCCAACCAACAACACATATTGTAAACTTTCCATAAACCATTTATGAGAGATTTATGCTCTGGAGAGAGGCCTTTTTTTTATAATTATAGCTCCATCTGTCTTGATCATTAGTAGTTGAGAAATGTATTTTATGTGTGCCCACGACAATCTTCTTCACGTGTGGCCCCAGGGAAGCCAAAAGACTGGACCACCCCCTTGCTCTAATAATCATAAGCTATACATTACAAGATATGTATTATTAAAAATTTTAATTAATTATTATTCATTTTGAGGAATGGATTTCACTCTGTTGCAGTCCCTAGGCTGAGTGCAATGGCTGCAACTCAAGCTCAACTGCAACCATCTGCCTCCAGGTTCAATGCCGATTTTCTCCTGCCATCAGCCTCGCCAAGTAGCTGGGATTACCCCAAGTGGTGCCAAACGCCTCGGCTAATTGCTTGTAATTTTTTAGTAGAGTACCCGGGGTTTCTTCGCATGTGGTCCAGGCTGGTCTCGAACCTCCCAACCTCCAGGTGATCCGCCGCACCCGCTTGGCCTCCCAAAGTGCTGGGATTACAGGTGTGAGCCACCGTGCCCCACCTATGGTGTATAATTTTTACAGTGTTGAAGATTCTTAACATTTTTATGATTTTAGAGAAGGGTCACTGAGGATACAATGCTGCTTGGAGTGTTTTTATCCTTTACTCATTTAAGAACATGTTTTCAGATCCTATGTTTCTGAGTCAGTTTTTGAAAATGATATGTTTGTTTACCTACATTAAATTAGATGATGCTGTGATACCACTCTTTCCCAAACAAATATGTTCCCTTCAGAGATAACTAGTTCAGCCGATCCCCAGGTTCAAAGAGTCACGAAGAGGACTTACGGGACTCAGCCTACTATCATGTAATGCTCGTGGCTATGATTTATTCCAGCAAAAAGATAATAAGCACAATCAGCAAAGAGAAAAGGCATCTGGGGTGAAGTTTGGGGAAAATCAGGCACAAGCTTCTAAGGCTCCTCTGTCAGTAAAATCACAAAGGATAAATTAACCCCCCAGCGCGAGTTCTGTATGTGAAAACAAGTGTGAAATGTTGCCAACCAAGGGAGCTCGTTAGACAGGGTTTCTAACGGAGCCTGGTCATGTAGGCAGCCCCAAGCCAGCACATATGGAAATTCTGGCTTCCCAGAAGAAAGCAGGTGTTCAGCACAAACCACATTGTTTGCACAAACAGTCTGGCACAATGAACCACTCTTATCAGTTAATGGTGGGAACCCTCGCAAAATCTCAGTTCTCTCCCAGACACCAGCCAAGGGCCAACCTTGCAAGCCGGCCTTTTCACGGGCAGTAGTTGGGGCCTGCTAGGCTAATTATTTTCTGCACAACATCATCAACAGAGTGTCAATAATCATGATAGTGACATTTACAAGTTTGATGGGGTTCTTTTCCCCCAAAACTGATGTCTAGTCCCTTTCTTTATCATGAAATTAACATTTATGGAGCTCTTATCACATGCCAGGCACGTGGTTTAAAACTTCTAATATTTACAGTAAATGGGTCCTGTTTTTGTCACAGTTTTACAGATGAGAACATTTAGATCCAGGTGAATGAGTTAAGTAACTTACCCAAAATCTCACAACTAATAATTTGTAGTGCTGGGATTACCACGAGGGCCTAACTCTAGAATAGGCACTGGGGAAGTCCTCAACAGTTTCACCATACACCTTCCCTTTCTTTTCTTTTCTTTATTTTCTTTCTTTTTTTAAAAAATATGGTCATCAAAAGCATTACACATTCACTCACACACACACACACACACACACACACACACACACACCCCCCATATCTCCCCATTTTGTATGGACAGAACACAAATACAACCAGGTATATAACCTGGTGCAGACTGGCCTTCCAATATGTGTTGAGATGAATGAGTAATGAAGCACAACATCTGAATGTCTATCATTTAAGTAATGCATCCTTAAAATATCAACATCATGTCAACTCCTGAAACTCAGTAGAAGGACCCTAATGAAAGAAAACCTAGGCAAGCCTCACCGATAAGTGCTTTAGTTACCTGTCCATTTGGACCTGTTTTGTTGTTGTTGTTGTTGTGGTTGTTTTGTTTGTTTGTTTTAGTATCTTTTGAAATTGAGAAAACTGAATGTCGTATTTGCACATATTCATCACCAACAATTTTTCTGAGTCCTTACAATGTGCAGAGCACAGAATTACTGCTCTATTTTCAGAGATATGTCATCAGCAGCTCTGTTGGAACTACCCTAGAAAATTTGGCCAAGGTTCTTGCTCTTGCTGTGTCTGGTCAAACCAGCAGGTTTGATCTGGGAATATAACCTCAATATGTGCCACCCGTGTTTCCATCAGAATGGAAGGGATATAGCCTTCATCAAGTTGGACTAAATGATCTTCCCTGAATGGATTATCCAAGACAGCTGCTCAACAAAAGAAACCACTGCTAGCTCTCTGCACATAAAATAAATTTTTTTAAACTTCGAAAACATTAAAATAAAATAAAGCCAAGAGCCATGAAAAATTGAAAGCATCTGATGCCTGCCTGGTGTTCCCGGTTCCTGCTGGAGCTCAGCTTCAGCCCAGGTGAGGCCAGACGCTGTTGTCATACAACAGGCTTAGTCAAACATGTGGATTTGATTTGTCAGAAAGTCAAATTGGGGACTCCAGTGCCCTTTGAAAGATGTAATCTGCTCCAGAGACCTTGCAAAGGGCATGGCTGACCTTGCATCTGTTGTGAAAGTGGTAATACCCTCAAGGCAGGGAGGAAAGCAAGTTTTGACACAGCAGAATTGAGAAGCACGAAGCTGCCAGGAAACCAGAGGCAGAAATTTCTTCTTTGCAATTGATTCTTTCAGGACGCTATCCCAAGGTAATAGTAAGACCTAATGTATACGACGCTTTACTGTTTTTTTTCAAAGTACTCTCATATGTATGATCTCACATCCTCTTCAAAGCAGCCTGGAAAGGAGGCCAGATCTGCATTATTATGTCCATTTTACAGATGTGACATAGGCATAAGGATAATGTGACTTTTCCAATATCTTGGAACTAGTGACTTGTCTTTCAGTCTTGGTCAGTGCTGCTCAATCTTTAACGTGCAGACAAACCACTTGGGGATCAGTAGGTTCAGTAGGCCTTCGGGGGAGCTCAAGAGTCTTCATTTCTAACAAGCTCCCAGCTCATACAATAAGAAATCAGAATGCAGAATGCATTACTTTTAAATTGGTTATTTTTTCTTATTGTGAAATAAAGCCTACAGTCACAAAGAGCATAAAATTGCACAGATGCTTAAAAATATTATTATAGTCCAAATAGCATGTGACCTACTACCTGGGGAAGAATTAGAACATGACCTGAAGGCTTCTCCCTCATGGCACCTCACCCCCATTAGCCCTCTCTCTCCTCCCAGGAGAAAACACTGTCTTGGCTTTTGTAATAATTATTTTCTAGCTTTTCTCCAGGAAATGGATTTTTTGAAGAGTTTTTGTTGCTGTTGCCCTGGTCCCTGATACTTTGAAATCACCAGTATTTCACACATGACAAAGGTACACAGGCCAAAGAGGCAGATCTGATCTTTTGAAATCTTTAGTAGGAAAATCCCCTAGAGGAGTCCAACTGGGGCTTGCTCTGAAAAAGTGTTCAGAAAGAGAGGGTATTACCTGCACAAAATACTCACTTTAGGAATGGGGTGTCGTGGGAAAAAAATGGACTCTGGCTCCTTGCTACTATGTCAAGTCAATATTTAACAAATCAGTTAGAGACATTTGGAGTCTAATTCTGATGGCGGGACAGATAAGAAATGTCAGTATCCAGACGAGATACTGAAACAGACGAGGAGGACATTACTAAATGTTCTGTCTGCCTTAGGTAGTCTCGCTTGCAGCGTTTCCTATTCCTTTCATGTGATGAAATCATCAAGCCTAATTTTCAAGAAAACAAAATTTCCTAAAACAACTGCCTGTAAATATGATCTTTCCTTTGTTCAGCCCCCAGCCTGATTAAAAGTTGGACTGGCAGCACATTCAAAGGGGCAAGAGCATGAGAGCTGCCAGTGGTTGTGCTTAGTACCAGGTGTCTAGGAAGTCTTGATGTAACAAACAGAAGGATGGAAATTTCTCAGATAGCTTGTGACTAGGTCTGGGAGCTTAATAGGGAAGAAGGCCAAAAAAGACTCCTGCTTCTCTAGAAACCGACTCTCCCTCAGGCAATCTGTACTATGTGTGTATCAGTTAACCATTGCTATGTAACAAATCATCCCAAAATGTAGTAGTTTAAAACAACAACCACCATTTCTCATGATTCTTTGATTTGGCTGGGAGATTGTGGTGCTGGTCTTCCCTGGGCATACTTTGGCTGAGGGCCAGCTGGGCTGGAAGGACCAACATGGTTTCACACACAGAGTTGACAGTTGGTGCTGGCTGTTGTCTTGTTGTCTTGGGTACCTCAGATTTCCTTTTTTTTTTTTTTTTCAGACGGAATCTTGCTCTGTCACCCAGGGTAAAGTGCAGTGATGCCATCTCAGCTCACTGCAAGCTCCGCCTTCCGGGTTTACACCATTCTGCCTCAGCCTCCCGAGGGGCTGGGACTACAGGCACCTGCCACCACGCACGGCTAATTTTTTTGTATTTTTAGTAGATATGGGGTTTCACTGTTAGCCAGGATGGTCTCGATCTCCTGACCTCGTGATCTGCCTGCCTTGACTTACCAAAGTGCTGGGATTACAGGCATGAGCCACCATGCCTGGCCGGATTTCCTCATTCTTAAATGTTAGACCCAGGAATGCTAAATATTCAAGATTTTAATGAGCCTCAGTTATTAAACCACTGGTAGCTTGAAATCAGCCACGGTGGGAATACTTTTGCCACAAAAACAAGCAAATGCTTTAAATCAAGTCCCTTTCTGTGGAGTGCTGGTTTACCGGAACACTACTGCCTACATCTGTGTGTGCCTTGTAGAGCCTTGCACCACGTGGCTGCTAGGTATGTCTGTTAAATTGAATCCTCAGTTAAGAGACAGAGAGTTGTAAACAATGCTGCAGTCTTAGTGTCAAAAAATCTCCAAAAACTTATACAATTAGGGGACTAGATCCCAGATAGCTGAGTTTCTTTTGGGGATATGCAATGATCACCTCTCTCTCCCCCCCTCTCTCTTTCTCTTTCTTTCTCTCTGCATATTGTAAACAGCATCAACAGCTCTGTTAATTTAAACTGTTACGGTTTTTGGATGGGGAGTTTCTGACTCTGGCATAAGTGTGTAATTATACACTTATATCCTGAAATATAAATGTAATCATCTAGCTTCCCACAGTACAGGAGTCCATAAAGCTACACTGATGTGTCTGAGAGAGATATGGAGGTGAAGAAGAGATAGGACAGTCAAGAGGCACGCCTCGCCGTGTATCTTTATTTCTTTCCTCACTGTGTTGTCTGTGCTCTGGTATATTTTGACTTGCGCCTTTCTTTGGCTGCCTCTGCACATATCTCTGTCTCTTCTGCTATTGACTAGAGTGGCTAGTTTGTCTAGTTTGCTCTGAATTTGTTTGGCTCCCCCTCAGCTCTCTATCCTGGTGAAAGAGGAGTATGCATAGCAAGGTTGGTTAGTTGCCTTTTCTGCATAGTGTGCTATGTTTCTTGGCTAAGGATTCCCCAGGGCCTTGGAAAGCACCGGCCCGCTGCATTTGCAGGACTTGTTTGCATCCAAAAAATGACTAATTAGGTCCTTGGGACTTCCTTACGTTACTATCCCAGGTATCTTCTTTGCTTCTTCCACTGCTTTTTTTTTCCTTTTTTGACTGGCCCGAGAAAAGTAAAGAACAAAAGTAAAGCTGGTAAACATAGTCTGTCCACTTTTAGTTGTGTTGCAAAACAGCCTCCTGTGCTGCTGGCTTTCCTTCCTTTGCCCAGTCTTAAATGTTAGCGCTCCCCAAGGTTTTATCTTCTGACCTTTGACTTCTGCCCCCTCTCACTTACTGGGTGGTCCTGGGTGATTTAATCCACTCCCAATTACTGAAACTGATGGCTCAAGTCAGACAGCCCCAGATCCATGTATTCACTTACCTACTGGATATCTCTACTGGCATATCCCATATGTTCTTAATGCTTACATTCTGATTGAAAATCAATGCCTATTTCCTTAAACCTCAGTTTATAGGAGTCATTCTAGACATCTCCTCCCTCACCTTCATACCTATCCTATCGAGTCTACCTGTTTCAGTTCTCCATTGCTGTATAAAAAACTACCCTAGGCCAGGTGTGGTGGCTCACGCCTGTAATCCCAGCACTTTAGGAGGCCGAGGTGGGTGGATCATTTGAGGTCAGGAGTTCGAAACCAGCCTGGCCAACATGGTGAAACCCCATCTCTCCCAAAAATACAAAAATTAGCCAGACATGGTGGCGTGCGCTTGTGTCACAGCTACTCAGGAGGCTGAGGCAGGAGAATCGCTTTAGCCTGGGAGGTGGAGGCTTTAGCCTGGGAGGTGGAGGTTGCAGTGAGCCGAGATCATGCCACTGCACTCCAGCCTGGGCAACAGAGTGAGACCCTGTCTCAAATAAATAAATAAATAAACACAAATAAAAATAAAAAAACTACCCTAAAACTTAGGCTTAGAACAACGATTTATTATTTCTCATGATGCCATGGGTTGCCTGGGTATTCCTCCGTTGGTTTCCCCCGGGCTCCTTCATGTGCCTGCATAAGTTAGTGACAGCTGGGCTGGAAGGCCTAAGAGGGCCTCCCTCCCTCACATGTCTGACAGTTGATGGGGAATGGTTGCTGGCTAGAGAGCCTCAGTTCTTCTCCACGTGGCCTCTCCTCTTCCACTAGGCCAGACTGCCTTTCTTGCATTGGAGTCTCAGGGCAGCTTTCCAAATGAACAAAGGCAGAAGCTGCCAGGCTTGTTAGGCCTAAGCTTCAGGACGCTTAGGTCATGTCTGCTGTATTGTATTTGTCAAAACAAGTCACAGGTCCAGCCCAGATCCAAGGGGGTGGAAAAACGAACTCCACTCCTCCAAGGGAGAAACAGCAAGGTCACACTGCAAAGGAGCATACAAACTGGGATGGGAGGAATTTATGAGCATAAAACAAACTAGCACGCTAGCATGTGAAGGCCTATGGAATTTGTTCTCTGTCAAGGTCTGTCCCAATCTGACCTGTGTCTTAGGATGATAACTCTGGTGATTTGTGAATATGAGTTAAAAAGGTCAGAGATTAGAAATAGGAAGCCCAATAGGGAGTACGTTTCAGTAGGCTAGGCAAGAAGGAAGAGGGCATTGTTCATAGGCTAGGGATGGGGAATGCATATGGAGAAATGGACATGAGATATTTCTAAAGTAGAATTAGAGAGAGTCCAGTGGTTACTATATGCTCTGTACCAGCATAAGTGATATAGGGAGTAAGATATTAGTAAGAGATAATCTAACCAACAAATAGATACTCAAATATTTGTCTGGTTAATGAGGAACTTAAAATCTTTTTTGGAAAAAGGGAAAACCTAGAACACACACACACACAAAATGAAGATTCTAGTGAACTGCACACCTTTACTTCATCTGATTACAGAACCTCTCTTTCTTGTTTTTTTTTTTTTTTTTTTTTGAGGAGTCTCACTTTGTTGCCCAGGCTGGAGTGTAGTGATGCGATCTCAGCTCACTGCAACCTCTGCCTCCTAGGTTCAAGTGATTCTCATGCCGCAGCCTCCTGAGTAGCTGGGACTACAGGCGTGCACAACCATACTTGGCTAATTTTTGTATTTTTAGTAGAGACAGGGTTTCAACATGTTGGCCAGGCTGGTCTTGAACTCCTGACCTCAAGTGATCTGCCCACCTTGGCCTCCCAAAGTGCTGGGATTACAGGCGTGAGCCATGGTGCCCG